TGCATTCCAAGGCTGGAAGGGATGAGTGTGATCCTCTCATCTGACCTCCCGGGTCACACGGGCCAGAGAACTGCCCCAAAACAATTCCTAGAGCAGAGCTTTTAGAAAAACATCCCAGCTGGATTTAAAATTGCCAGTGATGGAGGATCCACCACGACCCTTGGGAAATTGCTCCAATGGTCAGTTACTTTGACCATTAAAAATGTACACCTCATTTCCAGTCTGAATTTGTCTAGCTTCAACTTCTGTTCACTGAATCGTGTTAGACCTTCCTCTGCTAGACTGAAGATCCCGTTATGAAATATTTGTTCCCCATGTAGGTACTTTAAGACTGTGATCAAGTCACCCCTTCACCTTCTGTTTGTTAAGCTAAATAGATTGAGGTCCTTGAGTTTCTCACTGTAAGGCAGGTTTTCTAATCCAGTAATCATTCTCATGGCTCTTCTGTGAATCAGGCCAAAAAATTCACCTGCAAAAAACAAGAATGTTGAGATCAAGAGGAAGTTACAGGTCCCAGTGAACAGAATTCTTTCTCCATGCAAACATCAACAATTCCATCCATTCCCCTATCCAACCAGCTCTGACCCCAAGTTGTCGGTGGTTTGGGAGTTGCATGCACGTTGCTGGTACCTCAGAAATTCTTCCTCCATGGTGAGATACAAGATGGGGTTGAGGCAGCTGCTTAAATATGTCAGGACATAAGCAAAAGCCCTTCCTCTGTTCAAAAGAGACAGAGTGTAATTAGCTGACATCAACAACAAGAAGACGACGTGATACGGCAGCCAGCAGAGGAAAATGGTTGGGATCAAACCAAGAAGGATCTTGAGTGGCTTGGTGGACTGGATCAGCCTGTTCCTTCTCAGTTTGGCAGCTAGAACAATGTAGAATGTTGGGATCAAGATCAAGGCGAATGGGATCAGAAATCCGACCAGGAACTGCATTGCAATGGTGGCCTTCACCCTCCATTCATCCGCGCGGAAATTCATGCTGGTGCTGGCAGGTGAGAGGAGGGATTCCCAGAGATCACCGTACCGCAAGCTGAACCCAAAAGACAGAGCCCACATGCCCAAAACCATAATGAAAGCTAATGGGGGTGTGCGGTGGTTCCAGGACCACTCAGTGCGTGTCACGAGGATGCACCGATCGACACCGATGGTGGTGAGGAAGAAGGTGCTGGAGAACATGTGGAAGGAGGTGACTCTGAGGGGCAGGAAGATGATCAAGATGAAATCGGTCAGGGCCCGGTTCAAGAACCAGACGGCACTGGCCATCCTCTCCACACGGGAGCTGGCAACAAAGGGGATGTAGCCATTCAATGCCACCCCGGCAAGGAAGGCCATGCCACACAGCATGAGGAAGGGAACTTGGAGATACTCCATTCTTGGAAGAGGTATAGTCACAATATCCCCTCCTTCTCCTCATGGCTCGGCTTGGGCAGCGCAGACGTTGTCCTGAGCAAAGGAAGTAGGAGCAATGAAAAGGGCTCCAGGAGATGACATGGACAGAGAGAGACAGCTGCAGAGTTTATAATCTCCTCAGAGTTTATAAACTCCCCAGATACTGAGCTGAAGTCAAATAGGATCAAATCCTTGTAGGCCAAAGGCACCAATGGTTCAAAGATCTTTGGAGCATAGAGCCAGAGGGTTAGAAGGAGACCGCAAGGGTCATATCATCTAACTCCCTGCCAAGCTGCAGGATTTGTTGTGTCTATTCTCTGCCCAACCTTTTTTTTTTTTTGCTCCTGACCTCTGACCACAGGCCCCACAAATAATTTCAATCGGCTCTAACCAGAGCGAATGAGGGGAGGGGATGGGGGCCGCTGGAAGGGGGGAGATCCAGGGAGCAGTGGTGTGGGAGGGGTGACAATGAGATCCAGTGAGGGGTTTACCTCATTTCCTTACCCGTGTCTTGGGGGGATGCAGTGTCTCAGAGTCGACCCCCATCCAAGGTCCCCAATGTGACGCCTCCAGCTCTCCCAGACTGGCTCAGCCCGAAGGAGGAAGCTGTTCATGTTGGGGTGTATCTGGGGTGGAGAGAACAATGACTGGAGATCACAGGATGTGTCTGGGTCTGAATACTTCTGCAAACCATGGAAGGCCTCCAGCACCCACAGCTACATGCAGACGTTATGCAAACCACAAGGTCCTGTTAGAATATTCACATTCAGGCCTGCCTGTAAAGGCCTATACATTAAGAACGTAGGTGTATTTTTACCACTTAGCTAGTTATAGAGGTATAAAAACAAAGAATCAAAATTACCGTCCGCCTCTGTATGGGCCTTGTTTCCCTAGGATAATTCATTAACGATCTGGAGGATGGCGTGGACTGCACCCTCAGCAAGTTTATAGATTACACTAAACTGGGAGGAGTGGTAGATACACTGGAGGGTAGGGATAGGATACAGAGGGACCTAGACAAATTAGAGGATTGGGCCTGATGAGGTTCAACAAGGACAAGTGCAGAGTCCTGAACTTAGGACGGAAGTATCCCATGCACTGCTACAGAGTAGGGACCGAATGGCTAGGCAGCAGTTCTGCAGAAAAGGACCTAGGGGTTACAGTGGACTAGAAGCTGGATATGAGTCAACAGTGTGCCCTTGTTGCCAAGAAGGCTAACGGCATTTTGGGCTGTACAAGTAGGAACATTGCCAGCAGATCGAGGGACGTGATCATTCCCCGCTATTCGGCACTGGTGAGGCCTGATCTGGAGTACTGTGTTCAGTTTAGGGCCCCACACTACAAGAAGGACGTGGAAAAATTAGGAAGAGTCCAGTGGAGGGCAACAAAACTGATTAGGGGGCTGGAGCACATGACATTGAGGAGAGACTGAGGGAACTGGGATTATTTTGTCTGCAGAATAGAAGAAGAATGAGGGGGGATTTGATAGCTGCTTTCAACTACCTGAAAGGGGGTTCCAAAGAGAATGGATCTAGGCTGTTCTCAGTGGTGGAAGATGACAGAACAAGGAGCAATGGTCTCAAGTTGCAGTGGGGGAGGTCTAGGTTGGATATTAGGAAACACTATTTCACTAGGAGGCTGGTGAAGCACTGGAATGGGTTCCCTAGGGAGGTGGTGAAATCTTCCTTAGAGGCTTTTTTAAGGTCAGGCTTGACAAACCCTGGCTGGGAGGATTTAGTTGGTTTGTTCCTGCTCTGTGCAGGGGATTGGACTAGATAAACTCCTGAGGTGCCTTCCAACCTGATATTCTATGATTCTAGGATAGTCCAAGGCCTTGTTCTTAGGCTAAGGCCTTTGGCTAAGCAGCAGGGGCAGCCATAAACTGGGACGCGAACGGTCGCATCCTCACATCCCAAACCAGCCACACTGAAATAAGGGGCTATTGGGCTGTTAGGAGGACGATCCTGTCCTGATAGTGCCCATCACCACCAGCTAAAGAAACACATCTTAAGAAATCACTTCTCAATGGTTGTGGTTGTGTAACCCTCATTTCTGTATGTTTCATCTTTATGGCCCCCACTTTTCTATTGTTAATTTCTCTGGTTCTCTAATGGTTTCTGTCTGCTGTATAATTCATTTTGCTAGGTGAAAATTCATTAGGGTAGTGGGATACAATTGGTTAGAGAATTATTTTAC